GTTAATGAAAATTATATGCCTGTAAATAGATATCAGAACTCAATTGCTTTTTAGGTGAGGTTTTTTTTCCTTAGATGTATACAAAATACAACATGCATAATACTGCTGGATCTACACATTTCCTATTGTGATAAATATATTTAAAAAGAAAAAATAATTTTGAAAAGAACATGAAATTTAGCACCAATTTTGACCTAATTTTTCTTTGGTAGGAAAGGAAGGCACCAAATGTATAGTCTGCTCATTGCAATGGGGTCAAAAAAAAAAAAAAAGCACTCATACAACCCTCAGTCCCTGAAATACTATTCCAATATAGACTGAATTATGGGTCAAAGTAGACCCATAATTTGACCCATTAACTTTCTAGTATATTAGAATATACTATAGAAGACTACATTTAGGGAAGATCATAAAAGAAAATGTTTCTGTGTTTACCCACATTTAAAATATTTAATAAATTGACTCTTCTAATAATGGACAGATACTAAAAAGTATTATTTGGTAAAGAATAAAAGTCATATATCAGAGGTTCCAAAATAGTGTCACAGATTTCATTAGATTTCCAAAAGTTATTTTATACTGATAGTTCCTACCACACACATGGTTAGTGACATTCAACTCCAAAATACTGAAAGGCCAGAAACATCTTTCATTAGATTGGGAACTTGCGGGTTAGCTCCTACACCTACTGCCATACTCAACAACAGCATTTTTTAAAATTCCAGGGAGACAAAAGTTCCTTGCCACAGTCCCTGTTCCTCTAGGAAAGGGGTGCCTCTTGCAGGAGTTTAACACGTAAGCTGTAAGGTTAAGGCACAAGCATATAATCTGTTGTCAGTGATTATCCATTTTCCTGCCAAAGAAAACAAGACTTCATCGTCAAGCTGCCAGTATAGTTTGAAAAGCCACTGGTGAAACATTTTAGTAAGTGTCCATTATTATATATAGATTGTAAATTTCTTCAGTTTTCCTGCTTCAGATTATCCACAGGGCACATTAGTTAATACTCCTTTTTTGTTCCTCTTATATCTTCTTATCAGAACAAAGCACTTAAGAAATTTTACTGATATTTTGGCCCCTTTGCTCCTTGCACTCCCTTGCCTTTTAATCTCAGAGTCACTGCTAGCTCCCTTCTGATTAAGCAAGAATTGATTAAGCTGGGCTTTTAGTTGGACACTGAAAGCTGAGGTAGGTGGACTGTCATGATCAAGTACTTAGAAAGGTTTATTTCATTCCCAGTGTCTAACACACTAACAAAAAACTGAAATCTGCTGTTTTGTAAATGAGGTAGCCTCCTATATTATATGTCAAGAAAATAGTACCGTGGGAGATTTCCTTGAATGTATAGAGGTCAAGATGATTAATGTTCATTATTGAAAAATTGATAATTTTAAAAAGGGCAAGCTAAGTAAACTAGATCCCAAGTTTCAAGGTTTTGAGTGATTCAAAGATGTGGCAATGAATTGTTTCATGGGTCTTTATTGTCTCAGAAGGAGTCATCTAAAGTCATCTGATTAAGTCCACATTTATGTAAGTTCAGTAACTGTGGTTGTTTAAGTTGTATGTGGGTTTCACATTTGCTATGGGCATTTGGCCCTCTATTTTTGAGACTGTAACCTATCACTCTATAGGGTATTTATAAAACAAAGCATTAATGTCTGCCAACAAATAAACTGATAAAAAGGGCTGTGGCTATAAAATTATAGTGAGCCCATGAGCTGTCTCTTGTTGCTTTCCACCTTGTTATTCTTTGCCCCACGAACCATTCTCAAACTCAGCTCCAGATGGTCTTTTTATTTCCTTTACACCTAAGTATCAACAAAAATCAGTGAGTGTAAAACGAGCAGAATTAATGATTGTCAGTAGAGTAGCAAGACTTCCTTCTCTGCTGTGTTTGTATTCCACATTAACCCACATCACCATCACAAATGGTAAACTTGTTCTTCTGTTTTAGTCACAAGGTAAAAATTTTGTGGTTTTAAGAGTTAATTAACTACGATGATGATACTTTTTCTATTAGCCAAGATACTACTTGTCTTTCAGTTAAAGAATATAAATGTAAAATAAGAACATTTCACTTCCTTCTCCTTTTCACACATTGGGAAAAGCAACAATTTTCAGCCTAATGGAAAAATTGTTCCTTAATGTTTATGCCAGCAACAATGAAGCTTTCCGTGTTAGAAATTCCCTAAGGAGTTTAAAACTTAAAATGTTTACATATTTTTTAACTGGAGCTAATTAACTTACCCTTTCCACTTGTATCTCTAGACTCTGGGAATTTACTCTAACACCATTCACCATAAAGTATAACGCAGCCTAAGGCAGATTCATGAGGAACTGCATCTGAGGGGCCTACTACATTCCAAAGCATCCTCTATGATGTGCTCTCAGGACTAAGTTTTAGCGAAATTTTAATAGAATATGAAGATCAAAGTAAAAAATTATGCCCTCTGAAAATACTCATGTTAAGAATTTGACAGTCTTTTCTCTGAAAGCATTACCTTAAACATTTAAATAAAGTTTAACATATTAGCACAAAATACACCAGTTATATGAAACATATTACTTCCTTCCCAGATTTTAATCGCATAATTAAAGAGTGTTTTCAGTGTAGACCAATAGAACTCTAAGTTCAAGGCTGAGAGCAAGCTGTTCACCAGGTTATGTGACATAGCCTGGGCTTCCATTCTCTGAAGCCACAGGGACCACCAGTAAGTAGGGCAGCTAAGCAGCCAGTGGAACTAGGCAAGGATGTTAATGGACTCCTCAGCAGGTTTTTGGAGGATAGGGGCAAGTAAAGAGGAAAGAATGATACAGAGAAAGAGACCAGGAAGAGCAAGCAAAGAGGCCTAAGAAAGAGTGGGAAAGTGCACTGCCGGAAGCCCCCACTCAGTGCCACCCACGCTGGACTGGCCTGCCCCTGATCGACATAAAGTGCTTTATAAATAACAAAGGTACAAATTAAAATATTCTTCAGTGCAGTTAAAAGGATTAGAATTAGGAGCAGGAAGAACAAAGCTGTGTTTACTTTACAACTAAGTATCCATTTACTTTAAAAGTGCAGAAAGTTGAAGCTAACAGAGTTAAGGTTTGCTCCATACTTGGGCAGAGCCCATGGGATCTTCTGCAAACATGTATAAACAGATACTGTAGATCAGGGAGTACAAATGAGGTCCTGCTTCTGTTCATGAATAGAATCTGAAGCTTAACGCAAGCACTGTGCAATCTCAAGTGGACATTACCAATCTCTTAGTAGGACTGTAGACTAAGGATTGCAACTGTGATCAAAGAAATTTATAAATTTTGAATAAAGTATCAATCTGGGTGGTTTGTTGTTGCTGGAATGGATGGATACCAAGCGTATCTACTGCAATACAATTTAACTAAAATGTTTCTGGAAGATCCATGGGTATCTGTTACAATAGTATCTGTTCAGAGTCTCTGTAAAGGGGAATAATTGCTCCCCTTCTTATATATTGTCGGCCTCAAATGCTAGAACCTTTTGAATGTGAGAATTTGCTGAGTTTTATCAGAATTAGGATGATGAGATAGAAAGCAGAGTTCTGACTCTACTCTTTTCCTCTCAAGTGTCTGGATTGAACAAAAAAATTCAGGCCCACCAGGTCACTTTACTGCAATAGTAACACTGCTCAGAAATTAGAAAGGATTTACTTTGAAAGATTAGGGTAATGTTTCTTGGTCTAAATCCTTATGAATATTAGTATTTTTCATTTTCTAAGTTTGTAGAACTTTTAGAACTTCAGACTTCTAGAACTTTTTGTACCAAACATGTTATGAAATATACATTTTATAGAATTTAGCATCTTTTATACTTTATAACTTTATATTATAACAGCAAAGAACTCGCCATAACAGTCTATTATAGTGGAGCTTTTTCAGTATCATAGGACCTGTTTAATTCATTCCATCAGACTGAAAACTGCATATGTGTAATCTTGTACATGAATATAATATTGAGATCTAAGTTTTACTATAAATACTTCAGCTACTTTGTTTTTTTGTTTTTGTTTGTTTTAAGTAGGCTCCACACTCCTACTCACAACCCTGAGATCAACACCTGAGCTGAGATCAAGAGTCTGAAGCTTAACCAACTGAGCCACCCAGGCACCCCACTTTGCTCTTTTATTATGGAACCTAACCAAGCAAGATCAAGTCTTTTGAGTTTCAGATTATTACTTTTTTTTTTCCTTTCTAAAATCAGCCAAATTTTGAAAGGGAAAACATTTTGGAAGTCTTTACAGAGTAAATTTTCTCTTTTAGAATTGTTTCTGTAAAATTGGCAGGAGCAGGGACAAGTCTTAGGAGTCTGTGCTAAAGCTATAAAAAAAAATTTATAATGGTAGGTTTGATGATTGGTCTTACTTGTATGTCTTTGCTGATCTCAAAAGCACTGATAATAATGAGGAAATAATGTTTTATATAGCTAGGCATGGATAAATCCAGAACCCAATAATATAGTATCATTTCTAAGTTTTTTGTTATTGTTTTTTTTTAGAGAGAGAGCATGTGTACGTGGGGAGAGGGAGTGGGAGAGAAAGAATCTCAAGCAGACTCCACGCCCAGAACGGAGCCTGATGCGGGGCTTGAACTCACGACCTGAGATCATGACCTAAGCTGAAATCAAAAGTTGATAACTTAACAGACTGAGCCACCCAGGTGCCCCTCTAAGTCATTTTCTAGAAGTTTAAATAAGAATATGAAAGGGCAGTATATGGTCAAAATATAGTTGTTTTTTAAGCAATATAACCCTCCAAAAAAATTACCCAAGTTTCCTAAATATGAAATATAGAAGTACTGAAAGTTACAGCCATGTGTATGTCATAGTGAACTGCTGAATATCTTCACAATCAAAAATAACTTAAAATCCTATTAAAAATAAATTCCACATTTAGCATTCCTACTTTGAACTTTTGGGTTTTCTCGCTGTTTAATTAACCACTTCACTTCCCTCCAACCCCCTTGTGGCCCGCCTCCTCCCCCATCAACAACTACAAATCCATATCCTCTTCAGGTTTCTACATCCTCAGCTAAAGACAAAGAACAGAAGCTGAAAGGAAAAGTAGGGAGATAAGAGATTAAGTTTCTGTCCTTCCAGAGAAGTTTGAAACAGATGGATCCTGGAGGTGCTTTAGAAAAAGATAGCATTCTTCCCAGGTGAGCAAGCTACATTTGAGGAAGCTCTAACATGCATTTATACTTAGGATTTAAATATACTTTGCATATTATTAACTTTCAAAGACATAAATAAGAAGCGTACTAAAGTATAATTTCAGGATGAGGAAAGTGTTCCTATTTTTTGTAGATGAGTATAGGTCATGGCATGACTTTGGTTTTAATTTTAGGTCTTTAAAACTTTAATAGCTTTCATACAAGTGTCTTTGCACAAAGAGAAAAAAATACTGGGAATGTTAATGGGGAGCGGGCTAGGATAAATACCGAAGAGTGCAAATTTTTGCCAGTAAGTTTTGGAATACAGAAGTTGTTTCTCTTTATAAGTGCTTTTAACCTTTCAAGACCCATTAATTTTATAAACCAACTGGAGCAATTGTTTCTATCAGAAATATTTTCCACATGAATACAAAGATTTTTTTTTTCCCTATTTGTACCTGAAACTGCAACTTGGTAACATGTTCAGTAAGACTCTGTGGAAATGTCAAGTCCTAGTGCTAACAAATCTCGAAGTCAGAAAAACTCTACGTTACAAATCTCGAAGTCAGAAAAACTCTACGTTAAGATGGCCAGAATCTCTTTGATTCACTCTATTTCACTTTATTGTTACACTTTAAACAAGTTCAGAAATCTGGGGGTTTCTGGCTACTTGAGTAATCAACACACGGCAAACCGAAAGGAAGCAAATGGAAGTGGGAGAAATGCCCGCCTCCTGAACTGCTCTGCCCTTATGGCCATGATCCCTTCCGCGCCGCGCTCTGAATCCCGACACAGCGCTGCCATCTCTCCCAGAAGCCCCCCGGACACCGGAGCAAGGCAGAAGAACTTAACCTCAGATCTTAGTTAAGAGCAGGCAAGAGCTTTAACACAGACTTGAGGTTTCGGTAGATCTGACATTATCTAGAATCCAGACTTGAATCTTATAAAAAGTTTCCAAACAGCAGAAGAAATTAAAACAGAGATACCAGAATTAAAAACATCATGTGAGACAACAAACACAATTCCAGTCCTAACCAAATTGCAACCCTTTCATTATAGCTTGAGGTATTTTTAAATATTTGTACAAGCTTATTAGCATTCACAGTTTCCAGAGTTGCTTTTTACTGAGATAGCATCAATGCTCACAATATTTGACTTTCCGACATAAGTTTTCATATACCAGACTCTCTGCCCCCACACTCATGGAAATACCAGACAGCTAGCTATTCAGTGGCAGAAAATGGTTCTTGTAGTAATAAGGGTTCTAGTTCCCAATTATTGTGCTATTCTTAGGATGAGATTAAAAAAATAAGAAATCTGCAATTTATATAAAAGGAAAACTTGCTTAAACTTCTGAAAGCAAGTTCAGTCTGGTGGAGGTATGTAAGACGTTAAATAACAGAGTCAGATTCTTTCTTAAAGATTCCAGGTGAGCTTGACAGCAGAGAGTTCTGATTCTCCAACATTTTCTCCATCTTTTCTCCTCCAGTGGTTTTATCAATCTCTCTTTGCTTCTTACTGTGGATCCAGGGGATAAAACAAAGGACAGCACTTCCAATAAGGGGAGGGATTCCAGCGAGGTAGAATGCCACGTCATAGGAGCCCAGCTTGTCACGAAGTAACCCTGGGAAGGGAAAAAACTGTCAACAAGAGAGAAGAAGGGTGGCTCTTAGAGGTCTCAGATCAGTCACACATTTCTTAGGAAATGGGTCTGAAGTATAAACCTTTTCTGATATGAGAAAGGAAAAGATCTTAGATCTTTAATCTTATCACAGACTAGGCCTATGGGTTTGCGTACCAAGATATTACATGGAAAAAATATTTGTAACCAAGCTTTGGCTTTTTCAAAACCATTCAAAGGGCTTTGGGGTATTCTGACCCAGGGTATAATGGTCCTTATTTCAGGGGAAGGTGAAACTTCTCTCCTACACACATACCTCACAGTGTCTACATTTCAAACCTTCTTGGGCCTATTTGTTTATGAAATAACATGAAACTATTTAAAATTTGGAATTCAAAATCATGAAAAATTATAAATCTGTGACTTAAGATGAAAAAGTTTGTTAAATATACTTGTCAGCATATGGGAGTAAAATGTTTGGCACTCTGACAGATCCTTGGGCTCTGCTTCTTAAAACTGTTATTCAGAATATTCCCTGTTTCTAATTTCTCTAACAAAATCCAGATATTTTTTTAAGATTTTATTTCTTAAGTAATCTCTACACCCAATGTGGGGCTCGAACTCCCAACCCTAAGATCAAGAGTCACAGGCTCTACCAACTGAGCCAGCCAGGCACCCCACAAAACCCAGATTTTAAAAGTTATCTTAGTGTTTTTAAACTTTTGTACTCTTACTATAAAACCTCACCTATCTGAAATGTTCAGGGAACACATTGAATTGAGTATCAGACTTTTTGCAATAAACAGCTGAGAATTTGTCCAATTAAGTACTGACACATTAAAAAGGTGTACATTTATTCTAGACAGAAATCTAAAATATACAATATATAGATACAACTTTCTTATCTTCTGAATCAGAATATTCTGTATATAACTAAACCCTTCCTCCTTCTGAACACTAATTATCATGTCTGACTATAATCCTGTGATCCCTCAGAACCTCCTGGCAAGCCAAGAGCTTTCTGAGGCCAGCTGCGGCGTGTTGTTCTGCCTAACTTCAGAAGTTTCCGGTTACCTCCCTTGTTATTGGTCTATTCTCAGTTATTTCTAGTTGCAAACACCAGTCCTACCAAAGTACTGCTTATAATCTGCTGTAGACGTGGAAACCCTAAAAATCTAAGCTCATAAGGTGTAAAAATAGTGTAAGTAGTGTATTACCTGGGGTACAGGGGAAGGGCTGGAGGGTTCTCCCACAGGGAGACTGTGACCTTCAGTGACTGCATGCTTGTTCATGACTAGGTTCCCAGTTGGCAAAGTTGCTAGATGTGTTGGTTCTGGACATGAGAATGAACTTTCACTGAGCCCCTCACATGCCAGACTCAGATGACATTAGAATTTTATCCTAGTTTTATTGAATCACAACCTAATAATTCACATTGGCACCCAAGTAATATTGAACATGAGGCACCTTTATACTACTCAGAAGATATCTAAAGATGAAATTCATACAACATAAAATTAACCATTTCTGTGGCCTTTACCATGTTCACAATATTGTACAACCACCACCTCTATCTAGTCCCAAAATATTTTAATCACACCAGAAGGAAATGCCATACCCATTAAGCAGTTAGTTACTCCCCAATCCCCCTCCTTCCAGCCCCTCGAAACCACCAATCTGCTCTTTGCATCTATGGACTTACCTATTCCGGATATTTCATATAAATAAAATCTTACAGTATGTGACCTTCTGTATCTGGCTTCTTTCACTTAGCATAATGTTCTCAAGGTTCATCCACCTGGTGGCATGTATTGGTACGGTACTTCCTGCCTTTTTATGGCTAATATCCCATTGTATAGCTAAACCACATTCTATTTATCCATTCATCCACTGATGGACATTTGAGTTGTTTCCAGTAAATGGTATTTTCCATTAATTATTCCTGGGCGGGGAATATGATCTCTTACACAAAGCATATTTAGAAATCTTTCAGAATCTTCATCTCTTTTTAAAAAGCAGCCATGTTTCCATTTCTCCAAAACACATACTAAATGAAATATAGCAACTGTGAAAGCTTAAAGCCCAAAAGCTTACAATTAAACATTTTATAGAGTGTGTTATGTATCAATAAGGATAAGAGGGACTCCTCAGCAAACTTTTTCAACATGTCATCCAAGGCTGGTCTTATTAAAAATGTTATCAGTAAGGCACACACAAAAGCAAAAGACTGACCAAAAAATCATAATATATTTTCCATATAGTAAATTACCGGAGACTCATTATATTTACCTGCAATAGGTGGGCCGACAGTCATGGGTATAGACATGAATCCAAGTAGAAATCCAATTGCTTGAGAAACATCCTGGGGGCCAACTAACTCAAAGGCAATGGGGGCCATAATGGAAATGAAGCATCCATCGAAGAGACCCATGATGAGACAGACAGCAATGAGGGCCCCAAAGACCCTACATAGGGGAATCATCATGGACATCAGACCAATGAAGAGAAAGGAGAGTACCTAGGACAAAACAGCACAGTGTCAGCTCTGCTCTCAGGAAAAGTGAGTGTTACAATCACTGAGCAACATGCTTAGGACTTTTGGCCGACTACTGGTTACTTGCCTCCCTGGCCCAATTCACCTTGATTTTATATATATAATCAACTCCCATAATCATCTCCCCTAAGTTCCCCTAGCACTTTCTCAAAATTTCCGTAAAGGGACAGAATAAAGTAAGTATTTTTACATACTTACCTTCCCTTCTAGCCTGTAAGTTCTTGAAGTCAGAATCTGTACAAAAGTCATCTTTGGACTAGATAATCTAAGGTTTAAGAATCTTGCACCTGGTCAATATTCAATAAATATTTGTTCTTTGAGAATCAGCTCAAATTCATTCATCAAACATCTGATCTTGAAATTGTATATACTCTACTGGTGTTAGTCCTTTGCAAAAGGAGAATATGCCAGCAAGATCAGTACTTCACATCACAGAGCTTCCAGCTTGGGGAATATGATGACGTAAGGTTTAGCTATTTAAATAATTTAAAATATGTTGCCTGCCAATATCCCAGACATATTCCAGATATGCAGACCAAGTGAGAGATTAAAATAAGTAACTGTGTATTACATAAATATGTACTGAATTTTGATTATTCAAATTCCAATTAAGTTTCGACTGTCATAGGAAATATGTATAATATGCAAATGAAAACATAAACATATTCTACTAGAACATCCTAAGAGCTAAATTATGTAATCCAATTTTATTTGATAATGTAAATCAATCTGATTATCAAATGATATTTTCAAACACTGTCTTCTGGTGATCCAGCACAGATATACCCTATTTAAGCACCCAGAGTTAAGGCTGAGAAATATTCTGAGCCACGGAACATGTTCATTTAACGGTAGTTAATAGAACCAGACACTTGATTTTGCCTGCCACTGGGTAGCTTCTGTGCTCTGTGCTGTATACTATGCCACGTGAATAAGGCCTGGTTCCTACCCTTGGGTTGTGGGGGGACGAACATGGAAAACGAGTGCACATCAAGTGTCCTAGATGTTGCCACAGTTGTATATTCAAAGTACGGTAGGTGCAAAAAAGGGAGCAGGCAATTCAGTAACTTCTTTAGGCAAAGAACTAAATAAAACTTGACAGTTCACTAGTCAGCAGAAGAAATGTTTCAAAAAGCCTCAGCCTTTTTAAAAATATGTGTACAACAGCAGCTATCATTTACTTAGTGTTTATTAGATGCCAGGCACTGTTCTAAGCACGTTAGCTAATGATCTCCTAACAACTTTATGAGGTGGGTACTAACGTGATGCCCATTTTATAGCTGCAGACAGTGATGCTGGGAGACGTTCGGTAATGTGCCTAAATGTTCCCACCTAGGAACCCTTGGTCTGCACAGGTGGTAGCAGCGAGCAGGAGGAACTGCTCCCAGAGGGTACCTCCAATGATGAGGGGGCTGGGGAGGAAGGGAGAGAGCATACAAAGCAGCCATCTGGGTCACCATCTTCTCCTGTTTTTCCAAGGGCCCAGAGGGCCCACCAAGCTTGGGCACTCGCCTCAGGGCAGCTGCACACAACCTCCTAGGGGTCAGGATTTCCTGCGGAGCTGCCAACGCTGCACAGTGAGTGCAGGGATGAAGGAACAGCAGCGGTGCCGAGCTCTCCAGCTGACCGTGACACAGGCGGTCCATGGACCCCACAGTAAGAAACATGCTCTTGAAAAAGTGTCAAAGTCCAGGTTAGGTCTCTTTTTGACACCATCATCCCATACAGCTGAGTGCATTTTTCTTCTTCACTATTAAAATATGACTTTATGGTATAATTATTAGTTTAAGACTCGGAGTTAGTTATTTGAAAAGTCTGGCACTTCACATTTTCTAAAGAACACAATCTCCCATTTTTCTGATTTTTTTTTTTTTGGTTAAAGATTTTATTTATTCATTTGTGAGAGAGAGGGGGACAGCATGAGTGGGGCAGGGGCAGAAGGAGAAGAAGAGGGAGAAGCAGGCTCCCTGCTCCCTGCCGCAGGGATCATGACCTGAGCTGAAGGCAGACACTTAACCGACTGAGGCATCCAGGCGCCCCTTTTTATTTTCTACTTAAACATTTTCCCCGGGCTCCTGGGTGGCTCAGTTGGTTGAGCGACTGCCTTCGGCTCGGGTCATGGTCCTGGAGTCCCGGGATCAAGTCCCACATCGGGCTCCCTGCTCGGCAGGGAGTCTGCTTCTCCCTCTGACCCTCTTCCGTCTCCTGCTTTCTATCTCTCATTCTCTCTCTCTCTCAAATAAATAAAATCTTTAAAAAAAAAAAAAAACATTTTCCCCAACCCAACTTCAATGAAAACACATGCATAATTTCTTTGCATGGGTAATTAGTGGGCTTGCAGCCTGGTAGGTTGGAAAAAACTAAGGTTCAGAGGAACAAGACCAGGTTCCAGCTCTCTGTGACCTTGAGCAAGTAAAAAGGCTTCCCAATGTTTCCCATGTACACAAAAAGATCTAAAAATAAATAGAAATGTAGAAAGTGGTTTGAAATTCACAAGTAGGTAAATGACAAGGAGTACTGTCATTGATAAACTAACCACACTTTGTCTTAATTATACATACATTTTTAACTCTACCTACAAACACAAAAGCAGATAAACATGGAAAGTCATTTGAATCTTAGAAACTCATCAATTATCACAAACTCCAGAGAATCTAGAATAAAACTTCAGGACATTGTGGGGCCACATTCCATGGATTTAACTGGTAAAGCCACTGACCAAACATTCCCAACCATGCCACTGTAACTATACTAGGTTACCTTTCAAGAATATTTTTTCCTTTGAATATGTGTCCTCTTCTTTTACTATTTTGTTCAGTAAAAATCTCTCCCAAGATAAGAGAACCAGAGTGAATCATTGAAAGCCTAGCACACTACTTGGCACCAAATCAATTGTGCTCAATAAATGAATGTTTTTCTCGGACAAATTTACATAACATGAGACCCAGGCGCTTTACTTCTGGTAGTTATTCTGATTTTTCTATACATTTTTGGCCCCTTCCAATTTTTGTTCTTTGGTTTAGTTTTGTAAAAAATAATTCACTCAGGGAGCCTGGGTGGCTCAGTCGGTTAAGCATCTGCCTTCGGCGCAGGTCAGGATCCCAGGGTCCTGGGATCGGGCCCCACACTGGGCTCCTTGCTTGGCAGGAGGCCTGCTTCTCCCTCTCCTGTCTGCTGCTCCCCTGCCTGTGCTCTGTCAAATAAATAAAATCTTAAAAAAAAAAAATTCACTTAAGAGTTTCAGATTTAGGGGTGTCTAGGTGGCTCAGTCAGTTAAGCATCTGACTCTTGATTTGGCTCAAGTTACGATCTCAGGGTCATGAGATCCAGCCCTGTGTCAGTTGGGCTCTGCACTGGGCGTGAAGTCTGCTTAAGATTCTCTCTTTCCCTCTCCCTCTGCCCCTCTCCACCTTTCAAATTTATTACTATATATTTGAGCTTATAATTTCTTAATACTTTACCTGACTACGAGTTCTCCTCAGGTAAAACTATATTAACTATATTCTCTTTTTTCAATTATTTGACAATAATTACTAGTTTTTATTCAAAATTGTTAAGTTTTAATAACTTAAGTAGAAATTATTTAAAAGTAAAATTTCTTGGTTTTTTGTTAAGAATTGAGTTCATAGGTATTTACACATTTATCCTTTAGTATCTCTCAGAAAATAGCTGGTGAACTGTTCATACGGGAGTTTCTGTACTTCATTACTTCCCCAAATAAATATTGATCCATACATCAAATATTGATTTGTAAATACTGGGCTGCAGTTTGAAAGATAAATAAATTTAGTATTACAAAAATCTTCTTTCCCCTCCTCAAACAAAGCAGCTCTGGTTGGATTTAAATGAGGTATTCAAAGGTCCCTAATTCTCTTCTAGACTCTGGCACTGACATTTAATAAGACATTGACAGTTGAGATGTATTTCCTGCTTTTGTTTTCTTAAAATCATCCAAGGAAATATCTTCTGTCACAATATTATAGGTTCTATTATAGAACTCCTTGCTTAAGTTAGTTTACATACTTAAAGAACAAAAAAAAATTGGGTTTTTTTGTTGTTGTTATTATCCTTCCCCATTTCTATCACAAAAAGAACATTCTTGGAGAAATGTCCATTTAAGTTTTGCTCAGGAATCTAAGTATAGCTCAAGAAGAAAAATGAGCTGCACCTGAATAAGCAGAAGGCATTTTCAGAGGCAGACACACAACTGGCCACAGTTAGATTCAAGTGTTGCTCCTACAAATTTATTCACTATAAAGTTTCCAGACTTTTCCAGCTAGGAACCCAGAGCAGAAAGCCTTTAACCATTATTATTCCATATAATGCAGTTCAGTCATCTCTTTGCTCAGCATTTAAAAGAGGCTGAAAATACCTGGACCTTGATAGAGTTTACATTCAGAACTCTGAAGCAAAAGCGTGAGGCTCCTAAACAAAGATTTGAGTCTATCTATCAGCAAAGGTCTCTGGGGCACCTGGCAGGCTCACCTGGTGGAGCATGCAACTCTTGATCTCAGGGTTGTGAGTTTCAGCCCCATGTTGGGTGTACAGATTACTTTAAAAAAATTGTAAGCAAAGATGTCTAGTTCAGGATAACCAAGGTCTCCTTTCTTGAGACCTGTTCCAAATCAGGATCTGCTTCAGTATTTGATAGACTATTAAAACATAATCAAAGGAAGGATTTATTAATCATGCACTCTGGGCCGACACTTCACCATGAATCCTTACTGCAGCCCTCGGCCGGTTCTGGAGACAGCTGGTGACAAGAACTGGGGTGAAATCATGTCTCACTCCAGAGCCTGTGCTTTTCTGCTCTGCAGCCTCCCAGACCCAAGATGACTGTGACCAGAAATTAGACCACGTGGGAGGTTGTGAAGTGTGTTCTGTGCCCAGCTGCTAGGAGACAGGGGAGGGGAGAGAACCGTCACAGCCGCGTGAGGTTGGGCTGTAACAGACAAGAGCAGGGAGCAGGTATGTCTGCACCACCAGTGATGAGAAGGTAAGGAAGGTAAGCAGTGGGAGCTCCAGCTCTTAAAGGCGAGGCCAAAAGGCAGCCAGCCAGCGAGGGAAAGAATGGTGGGAATAAGCGAACAGGCAGAGCTGGAGTTGGCTGCAGCAGAGAATAGCCAAGACTCAAAAACCACACTGAATGGTTGGGAGTTGGGCAGGGGAGCCAGGAAAAAGGAGACACAGGGGCAGGGAGTGATATAAAGGAACGAGTCCACATGGGTTAGGCCTGTGTTGGCTCCCGTGGCACTATATTCACAGGAGGGGCCCACTGGTGGCTCCCCATAGCCACACGACACATGGAAGGCCTTCTTCCTCCTTCACAGGCCTCTCTGAAATGCAACCCCCTCACTGTGACTCAGCACACACTACTGTGGAGAATGGATTAGTGCTTCCAGCCCAGGAATCTCTCCTCCATATACAACCACAGTGACTTTAAAATGTGAAATCAGGGGGCGCCTGGGAGGCTCAGTCGTTAAGCATCTGCCTTTGGCTCAGGTCATGATCCCAGGGTAATGGGATCCAGCCCCGCGTCAGGCTCCCTGCTCAGTGGAAAGCCTGCTTATGCTCTCTCTCTCTCAAATAAGTAAATAAAATCTTAAAATAAAATGTGAAATTAGGGGCGCGGGACTCTTGATTTTGGCTAAGGTCATGGTCTCAGGGTCGTGAGATTGAGCCCTGTGTTGGACTCCACTCTCAGTGGGAAGTCTCCTTGAGAATCTCTCCCTCTCCTCGCACTCAAATATATCTTTAAAAAAAAATGTGAAATCAGACCACGTCATTCTCCAACGAAGACCCACTACACTTAAAATCTCTTCATTTTGGCTTTTAAGATGCTGTATAATCTGGCCCTTCCTAACTTTCCAACCTCTTCCCATGTCACTCTCCCTGTCTTCTTGAGTTCTTCATTTTTCCTGCCCCCAGTTTTGCTCCAGGAACTCAGGGGCCATGCATATTTTGTGTGTATCACCCCACCAGGGTCTAGGCTAGAGCACAGTAGACACAATCTTTGGAAAAAATGAAAGGAAGCTGAAAGTCTGTAATGCAACAAGGGTCCATTAGAGGGTTCTCTTGACCCTTGAGAACAAGACCAACTGATCCACAAGAATATCCACAGCTGGGTCCTAATAAAAGAGGAATGATCATAATACAGTAAATGCTTTCAAAAATAGCACTCTACCAGCTATGGACACTTCCTTCCACCATGTGACCAGACTCCTTTCTGCAGCTGTCTGCTGGGACCTACACACAAGACACCTGCAGTGAGGCCGCCTCTCTGTTCCTCAGGGTTCACACCTCTAAGTGGAAGTGACCACGATACTGTCGTCAAAGGGCTGGGGTGAGGAACACCAGAGAATGCACATCTGGCACATGGAAGTACTCAATAAATGGTGGATGCTGTTATTTCTAATCAATCAATGGAAGTTACTTTATCTGTAGTAAATGCCTTTCCAGTCATTTTCCTGCACGCAAATCCCACTTCTCCTTCAAGGTCCAACCCAAATACTGCCTCCCATCTATAGAGTGAAGAGACACGCTCAATGCCCCAATCCCTAACTGCCCCCTCCCGGGGCTCCCCTTCACCTTCCCTTCAGAGCCAAGCTCTTGGGCAAAGTAGTCCACATGGCCACTTACTCAGTGATCATGATCCATCTTTAGCACCTGCCACTCCGCTGAAACTCTGCAGCTAAATCCAGTGAAAACCTTTTAGTCTTTAATGTGCTAGCCCTCTCACTAGCTGCCGACACTGCTGACCACTCCTGTCTCTGAAAACACTCTGTGCCCTGCTTCCTTCCCACCAGTCTGGCCACCCCTTCCATTCTCCGCTGCACACCCCACTCCTCCGCTCCCACCACACAGCCCATGGATGCCAAAGTCCCACGGGTCTCTGAGACTCTCTTAGGAGCTCCAAACCTGGCTTTCCCACAAACACCACAAATTTAAAATGGCAAAAATGAACTTAGCATCTTACTCCACTACTGAATTATTGATCTTAATGAAACAGCACAACCATCCACTCCGTGACTGGAGCCACAAATCTCAGACCCGGCTGAGGTGGCTCCATCAAACTCTCATTCCCAATATCCCTATTTTATACCCTGTCTGATTCCAATGTTTCTGCCTTGGTTCCTCCTGCCTAGACTACTTCAACAGTCTCCAACTAGTCCCTCTGCCTCGACTTTTTTTAAACGGCTTTACTGAGATAATAAATTCACCTACCATAAAAGTCACCCCTTTAAAGTAAATAATGAGTGGGTTTGAGTTAACAAAGTTGTACCGCCATCACTACTGCCTAATTTTAGAATATCTGTATCACCCCAAAAAGGATCCCCATACCCTGTAGCAGTTCCCCCCCACCGCCTCCTCCCCCGGCCCCAGGCAACCCTAAATCTACTTTCTGTCTCGTGGTGCTGCCCATTCTGGCCACTTCCCAGAAAGGGAGCTATACAATATGTAGCCTTCTGGCACTGTCTGCTCTCTTACCCCTCCTCCACTTCATTCCACCCTACATAGTTCCTGGATTAAGCTTACTAGAATACAACTCCGGTCGTGTCACTTCCTCGGTTAAAACCCTCTCCTGGCTCCTGGTAGATTGCAGGATAGTGTTCACCCTCTTCCTAACCTGGCTCCTGAGCCTCTCCCTCCAGCCAATTTAGTGCTCTCCCTCTATCTCCTTTATCTCCCCTTTTGTTGCTTCCCAGACATAATATACTGTGTCACACCTCCACCTCCCTGCCCATGTGGCTTCCTCGGCCTGGAACACACTTCTCTGCTTTATCTACCTGACTACCACTCACCTCTTAACAGCCCACCAGCCCAGGAAGCCTGCTCCGACCCTCGCCAGTGATTCAGATGTTTGGAGCCTGCGTTTCTATGGCACCCATCTAGAATAGTCATTATTCCACTGCGCTGCCACACTGTTTTATCTGTCTCCCCATGAGACCATTAGCTACTAACTGAGGGCACAGGTCATGTTTCATGCTTCATCTGCAGCATTCAGCCCAGTGTCTAGCATGGAGGAGTCATTTAAGAACTTGTCAAATGAGTGTCAATATGATCTTGGAATTAGCATTAGTTTAGTGCACACCTCTCAACACCCAGGAGGCAATCTGCAGTAAAGAAGTTCAAAAGAAACACACCCCCCTGAATTTCACAAGATATTGCAAAAGGCACATGACTATGAGAACTGTGCCAAAAATAAAACATTCTTCTTAGGAAAAGCAGTGGGCAAAAAACATTCTGATTTGGTGGAGTTCCATGACAAAACAAGATTGTTTGATCGCCAATGTCCCATGTTGAAAACCCAAAACTCATAACCGATTTTGCCCTTGAAAAACTGCTGGTAGAAGTTAGGTTCCAGAAAGTATCTGTCATTTTTACAGAAGAATTTAAGCAAATAAATACGTATAACGAGACATGAGGGGATAAAGATAATTTTGCTGGGGGAAAAGTGGCTTAAGAAAGTACCTGAAGATAAACCTTCTTCACACCAGGCACATAATCTGCAATCCTGCCAAAGAGCAGCCGTCCAACCCCTGAAGTGATGCCAATGCACATGAGAACCACCTCTTTATTTTTTCCATCTTGAAATCTTTCATTCACATGTTTCATCTGTGGACCAAAGAGAAAGAGGCAACACTAAATACAGTAGGAAAAATTGACAAGTTTTGACACAAAATGCCTTTGTGTCTCCACAATGTTATGGACTCTCACCCCCTTCCAAATCCAAATATTTATAAAATTTCTTCTGTGATAATTTTTCATCAGAACATATGAAGACAAGGCTAACGTGATTTAGCTTGCATAAAAGAAACAAGAATCCTTATGAGAGGTCTTATTTCAAAAACGCGTTACCAACACACATTTTCTAAGTTGACATTGAGCCATTAGCTAAAGGAAGAGAACATACTTGAAACATACCAGACAACCTTGCTCTCTCAAGGTCACCTAAGGACCCAATTATCTGCTCTCCTTAAAGGCAATTTAAGGCAGTTTCACATCTCCTTGGAGAACCTGAACCAAACTGACAGCCCTGAAATAAGCTGTCCTGGAGCTTCCAGGATAAAAGCGTAAGGGTCCCTACCTGTGAATCTGCCTGTGTGCCATCAGAACAGACAGATTCAGAGGCAGCTGAACACAGCAGTTCGGAGAAAAGCCTCTTAGAGAGACTGCTTGGGTTCAAGTCTAGGGTCCATCGCTTATCAGCCTGATGACCTTGAGTAAGTTCTTAACCTCTAAGTCCTCAGTTTCCTTGTCTATAAAATGGAGATAGCAACAGTACCTCAAGAGGGTGGTTATGAGGATTAAAGTAAAGTATCTGTGTAAAGAACTTAGAATAGTGACCGACACAGTTAATAATGATTAGATATTAATTTTAGGGGACGCTTGGGTAGTTCAGTCGGTTAAGCGTCTGCCTTCGGCTCCGGTCATGATCCCGGGGTCCTGGGATTGAGCCCCGCGTCGGGCTCCCTGCTCTGCGGGGAGTCTGCTTCTCCCTCTCTTCCTGGCTTGTGCTCTTGCTATCTCTGTCTCTGTCTCTCTCTCTCTCTCAAATAAATACATAAAATCTTTAAATATATATGTATATTAATTTTAGCCTTTTTTAAAGGACCTTTTCTCTTAATTTACACTGTACCTAGAACAGTGGCTGTAAAACGGCCACCTGACAATGTTTTAAAAGGCAGTGTGACCAGGCAGGTGTTATCCTGGGTGATAAACACGCAACTCAGCGCCCGCTAGCATAAGCTTTGCTCCACAGCCCCTAAGTGTCACCCCTATCCTAGCACTTCCATTCTCTCAATGATCATCTGTGTTCTCACAGTAAAGATAAAAAGCACGTCTGTACTCCTACTGTTTTCTCTGAAATCACAGACATGTTTAACAAATCCAAACAGTTGCTTGAAACAATCAGACTTACTGTTCCCTACATCAGACTTTGGCCTGAATTCCAGAAGCCTGCAAAGCAAATTACCCAGCAAGTTCAGCAGCCCAATGTTCCCAGGGGGTCCTAGTAGCCTTCAGGGATGAATGACATCCCCTTAAGAGACTTCCATTTTGCATTTTTATGCCCACTTGGATATGCCAACACCTATATTTATATTCTTTACTTTGGTATTAAAAGCCCTTCATAACCTGTCACCAATCTATCTTTTTGCCTTTATTACCTACTGATCCTCGACTCAAAAGCAGTAAATGCAAATGTCTACAGGACTCAGGCAAGTAACATTAAGGAGTGAAACAGACTTGTTGGAGAGAGGGAGCACATACTAAAGTTGATTATTACCATATAGGACCACCATGTTGCCAAGTCTATCTCCCAGCTCCCTTTTCTTTTAAAGGAAAGTCAGAAATTTTTTTGTGTGGAAATGTTGGCACCTACCTTAAATTTAGAACCTGGCATGATCCAACCCCATGCAAGCCAAACAAAACATGTCTGCAAACTGCATTAGGCCGACTTTGATCTTAGCACTAATCCTATCTGGCCCAGCAGGACAGGTTTATTCGGTGTCGCTTAAACACGTCTCATACTTTCTTACCTCTCTACATTTCTGCTACCTCTTCCATCTTCTTTGACTTTCTGAATCCCACCCATTCTTTCTTTCCTTTTTTTTTTATTATGTTATGTTATTCACCATACATTCCATCATTAGTTTTTGGTGCAGTGTTCCATGATTCATTGTTTGTGCATAACACCAGTGCTCCACGCAGAACGTGCCCTCTTTAATACCCATCACCAGGCTAACCCATCCCCCCACCCCCCTCCCCTCTAGAACCCTCAGTTTCTTTCTCAGAGTCCATAGTCTTTCATGGTTCGTCTCCCCCTCCAATTCCCCCCCTCATTTTTCCCTTCCTGCTATCTTCTTCTTGTTTTTTTTTAATTTTTTATTGTTATGTTAATCACCATATATTACATCATTTGTTTTGGTGTACTGTTCCATGATTCATTGTTTGTTCATAACACCCAGTGCTCCATGGAGAATGTGCCCTCCTTAATACCCATCACCAGGCTAACCCATCCCCCTACCCTCCTCCCCTCTAGAACCCTCAGTTTGTTTTTCAGAGTCCATCATCTCTCCTGGTTCGTCTCCCCCTCTGACTTACTCCCCTTCATTCTTCCTCTCCTGCTATCTTCTTCTTTTTCTTTTTTCTTAAAATATGTTGCATTATTTGTTTCAGAAGTACAGATCTGTGATTCAACAGTCTTGCACAATTCACAGCGCTCACCGTAGCACGTACCCTCCCCAATGTCTATCACCCAGCCACCCCATCCCTCCCACCCCCCACCACTCCAGCAACCCTCAGTTTGTTTCCTGAGATTAAGAATTCCTCATATCAGTGAGGTCATATGATACATGTCTTTCTGATTGACTTATTTCGCTCAGCATAATACCCTCCAGTTCCATCCACATCGTTGGAAATGGCAAGATCTCATTCCTTTTGATGGCTGCATAATATTCCATTGTGTATATATACCACATCTTCTTTATCCATTCATCTGTCAATGGACATCTTAGCTCTTTCCAGAGTTTGGCTATTGTGGACATTGCTGCTATAAACATTGGGGTGTATATACCCCTTCGGATCCCTACATTTGTATCTTTGGGGTAAATACCCAGTAGTGCAACTGCTGGATCATAGGGTAGCTCTATTTTCAACTTTTTGAGGAACCTCCATACTGTTCTCCAGAGTGGTTGCACCAGCTTGCATTCCCACCAACAGTGTAGGAGGGTTCCCCTTTCTCCGCATCCCTGCCAACATCTGTCGTTTCTGACTTGTTAATTTTAGCCATTCTGACTTATGTGAGGTGGTATCTCATTGAGGTTTTGATTTGGATTTCCCTGATGCCGAGCAACGTTGAGCACTTTTTCATGTGTCTGTTGGTTATTTGGATGTCTTCTTTGGAAAAATGTCTGTTCATGTCTTCTGCCCATTTCTTGATTGGATCATTTGTTCTTTGGGTGTTGAGTTTGATAAGTTCTTTATAGATTTTGGATACTAGCCCTTTATCTGATATGTCATTTGCAAATATCTTCTCCCATTCTGTCGGTTGTCTTTTGGTTTTGTGGACTGTTTCTTTAAGACTGCTCAAATCCCACCTTTTCTATAAAGCTGTCCTTGATTATCTGTCTTACATCCCCTTCTTGTCACTGCCTAACGTTTTCATTGGCAGCTTAAGTACTGAATATTCCTACCCAGCCTTTCTAGCTTCTAAGGCTACGCATTCTCTTCTGTCAACTCTTACATGTCAAACTAGACCTATCCACCTGCCTGTTCCAAAGATACCTCAAAGCCACCAGGCCCCATGCTGAACTCCTCTCCCCCTCACAACCTGCCCTCCCTCCATTTCAGGTAACACTACTACTGTTGGCCCAACTACCCAAGGGAGAAACTGGATAACCATCCTAAATTACTCCCTCTCCGTCCCCTGAGATCCAGGAGTCACCCCTACCTAAATTCTGATGATTTTGCCTCCTACCCTTCTTAGACACACTTCCTTTGGTCTTTGTTCCCCGTGTTTTAGTTTAGGTTCCTTTTTTTTTCTTTTGGTGGGCAGCAAAGCAAGGTTTATTGAATGATGGTAAAGTGATAGTACAAAGCTCCTGAAGAAGGAGGGGACCCAAGGGAGGGTTGCCTTAGTTTAGGTTCCTATCACTCCTCACTTAGACAACAATAGCCTTCTAGCATACTTCTTGCTTGAGCCCCCACTCCTGAATCTCTATTCTCTGAGACCACCAGATTAAGTTCAAAATTACAAACACTTCTCTGCCTAAGATCCTTTGATGGCTCCCATAGCCTTCAGGGTAAAGCTCCGACTCCTGGTTTGACAGATGAAAGCCTTCCTGTTTTGCTCCTGCAGCCTCACCTCCAGCTGCCTCCTTACACACACCGTGCTCACACTGTGCTGTCCGGTACGGCAGCTACTAGCCCCACGGACACTACTGAGCACTGAAAATGGAGCTACTGCAGATTGAGATGTGCTAAGTATAAAACACATAGCAAATTTAGAAGACTTACTGAAAAGAAAGCATGCAAAATATCTCAACAATTTAAAACTGATTCCAAGTTGAGATATTTTGCCTATATTAAACAAATATATACTGTTAAATATACTGTGAAACTAATTTCATTTATTTTTTTAAATATGGAAACTAGAAAATTATAAATCACATATGTGGCTTGCATTATATTTCTATTGAATGGTGTTGGTCTAAGAAATCCACTTGTGGCTGCAAAGACAAGACAGCTGTTTATGATAAAGGTAACCTCAAACTGGCTTATTCCTCCAGGCCCTTATCACTCCTCCATAAGTGAAATCAGACAAAGTGGAAAGATGGATTCCAGCTCAATTCTGAAGAAAATGAATAACCTGATTTAAGGTAGGTAGGATATAAGTATGTGTATTCATCAGCTTTATTTTGGAATTTGAATCCAGACTTAATGTATTAATCTACTTCAGTAAGTACCCAAAGGATCTATTATAACTTTTCAAAAGACATTTTTTAGTATTCAAAAAAACTAAATTTAGGGGCGCCTGGGTGGCTCAGTCGTTAAGTGTCTGCCTTCGGCTCAGGTCATGATCCCAGTGTCTTGGGATCGAGCCCTGCATCGGGCTCCCTGCTCCGCGGGAAGCCTGCTTCTCCCTCTCCCACTCCCCCTGCTTGTGTTCCCTCTCTCGCTGTCTCTCTCTCTGTCAAATAAATAAATAAATAAATAAAATCTTAAAAAAACAAACAAAACCCCCCCCAAAACTAAATTTACTAGTCATTCTTTTGATGAAACTAAGAGCACCTGACTGACAAGTTGCTATTATTCTTTATTAGTGGTTTATTATTTCCCCTTGCTCTACTTTATAATCCTTAAAAGGAATATTAAGGTGAAATATTTTGGGTCTTTTGAAAGTGGGTAAGTTTGGTAAAATCAAATTATGCTTAAGTGGAAACTTAGTTCTTCAACTATAAGGGGTGTTATTTCATTGAAATTTGTTGCTCTTGTTGCTGTTAAAATAAAACAAGAACGTCAGCTTCTAATACCTCCTCCCGCAGCCAAAATCTGCAAGCTAAAGAAGTTTCTTTGGTCAGTAAGTAAGGGAATCTGAGGGGTTGGAGAACAGAATCTAGGGATGCTGGATCTCTGGGTCCTAGAGATCCTTCCTCACTGAGATACCAGTACCTCGAAGATGTGGTGTTTTCTCCTTGCAGCCTGGGCCTCCCATGATTGCTGCACATTATTTTATGAATCTCTGCCTATGTTTCATCCTCTGGAGACTGGCGTGCACTTTAGCAGAAACATGAATATTAGGCAAAATCGATATGTCTAAGAAAGTTATATGGATAAGGACGTTCAAATGTTGGACAGATGTTTCCATATTTAACTTTTTTGGAGGGGAGGCAAGCAGGGGGAGGGGCAGAGGGAGAGAGAGAATCCCAAGCAGGCTCCACACTCAGCGCAGAGCCCAGCGTGGAGCCTGATCCCACGACTCTGAGATCTTGACTTGATCCGAAATCAAGAGTCGGAGGCTCAATTGACTGAGCCATCCAGGTGCCCCTTAATCTCACTTTTTTTTAATGAGCATTCTTTTAAAGCTTTATTTTAGAGATTGAGAAAGAGAGGGAGAGAGAGACTCTCAAGCAGACTCCCCACTGAGTGCAGAGCCCAAGGCGGGGCTTGATCGCAGGACCATGAGATCATGAGCTGGACACTCAACCGACTGAGCCACCCAGATACCCCTAATCTAATTTTTTAAACCAATACAGAGCTTAAAACAGAGACCCCTAGTGCATAAGGAATAACATCATTTTGTAGAGCAGTTGTTTCAAGTAGACTTTATCTGAATGTATAAGTGCCTTCCAGGAAGGAGTTAGTCTTCTATTTCTGTTCTCAAACATGTGTTTCCTCCAGGGAGCACACCTCTCAGAGATTACCAAAACCTTGCTGACAGTTTGAATGCTACCTGCTCCTGAAACATTTTTCATCATCTGAGCAACAACTTTTGTTAACCACAGAAGCCATTTTTGGATTGTGTTATCCAAAGTAACCACAAACTCATATCCCTAAATATCTGTTCATTTTACATAATGGGTGAAAGAAAGAAAAAAAAGACAAAGTAGTTCACAGTTTGCCCTTCCTCCCAAACATCCCCACTTCAAGTAAACGGTGATTCAACCTATATCCACGGTTAACACATCTCTGACCAGCCAACTGACGGGTGAGGTCCCTCTCCCCTCACTAGAGCCCAGAGGCAGATTCCTTTTTGAGAGGCTGGGGCAGGAGCGTAAGAAAGTCATCTTGCTGGGGGACCTCTCCATCTCTCTCCTGCAGAGAAGCCACGGTCCCAGACACAGGGAGACATCAGACACAATGTTCTCCCATGGAGAATCCAGGCTGAGTCCTCTGGCTTTTAGGCAACCATGAAGGAAATTAAATGGGTGGCCATAGTATAAAACCAGCTCCAATAAACCTGATGTAAGGGCATTAGAAACCCCAGCTTGTCCTTGACAAATAGTTGCACAACAGAAGACTACCCAATAGGAGGGAACCCTAAATCACTTTATTTGCAGAAACCCTCGAAACCCAGTGATGGTACATACCAGCAAAGCAAGGAGGTTATCGGTCAAAAAGGTCTGATCATTACCTAGTTATTTTCTAGAAGTGTGTGATTTGGCCAATGCCATGATGGTCTTTAGCCTCAACTGCCCTTGGCTCCAACTTTTTAAAGGGATGGGTGGTTTTTGCTTAATGTCTTTTATGTAACATTTATGTAACTTATTACATAAAGATGATGATCAAACTTTTGTACCTAGATTAGACTACATATCTTTGGGGAATAGTGAAAGAAGAGGAACTATGGGACACTTCAAAATAACTATTTCTGATGCTGGATGTGCAGTAACAGCTGCTGAGTCAAGTTCGGAGTGCTAAAAAAAAAACAAAAAAAACCAAAAGGCAGTAATGTAGGGAGGCCAGGAAAGCAAGACAGAAACAGCTCCAACAGAGCACGGCCGGCTGTGAAATAGAGCTTCAGCTACCTCTGCAGAACTGGGTGGGAAAAATCAACAGTATTTGTCCTCCATGGTTGTTGCAGTTACTGTGCCCTTTGAGAGGGAAACAGATTCCAGTAATGCAGCCCTCATCTGTCCTTGCCTGTGAGGATTCTGATTCTCTGACCTTCTGCCCTTCCTCTTCACGTCCACATCATCAAACTGGACAATAGGCACTCATTCTGTTCCTAGGAGAATAAACTCTTGTGGCCAGGTCAAGGGACCTGCATCTCTTACGTTACATGCTACCTCCAAAAATGGGGTAGTAAACGCTGCACAATATTTTCAGTGGTTTTGTAATAATGATTTCTGCAGCTCCCTACTTTCCAACAGTGATTCAGAGTTCAGAGCACTTCTACTCACTTGCTCTTCACTCCAGAGATTAACAGCTTCAGCCTGTTGCTTCTCACTTGCATGCAATTTAGTTTCCAACACATCCATTCGGTATTTGAAAAGCTATTCCATCACTCTAAAAGACTGTTCTGCTGGGGGAAATATACTTTTTAAAGACAAACTCAAAGAAAAGAGCCTTGCCCCTTTAAAAATTAGAAAGGGAGTAGAAACCCTGCTAGAGTAGTTAATGGATAATCTTAGAATTTGTTGCAAATCAAAACTTTACACTACCCTTTGACTTCAAAGTAAGATGAATAGAAATCTGAATAGGAAATAAGGTTTGGTCTTTTTTTTTTTTCTGTCTTTTTTAAGCAACTGTGTTTTCTCTCTCTCTGTTTCTGCTAAGAAAAGGAAGTAAATTAAAACAAGTGGGGCATTCACTTAGAAAGGTTTTATACATGTGCCCTGTATGCCAGCAAGCCCACTGAGGTGATCAAAGGTGGAAGAAAACTACACTCACAGATTTGGAAACATAAAATTAAGCCCTTTACATCATAATAATGTTGAAATAGAACTTTATGGCTATTAAAAGATACTCCTTGATTAGGTCAGCCTCAAACGTCGCTTTAGCTTGTTAAATTTGATCAACTGTGCTTTGAGAATAAAACAGCGCTAAGATTTGAAGTGAAAACATCAAATTCTTTGCCTACCAACATTTTTAAGAACTACCATCTTCAGGCAGCCCAGTAAAGCCCAGCTTTACTACAAAGATGTTTCTGTTGTTGACTACACCCATGGAGCAGGTACCAACTGCCTCCTCAGCAGCTGACCAGGTAGGGAGCAGACCTTTGGCCTGACAGGGCTTTTGGAGGCACAGGGAGCTGGCGCTGCTTGTTTTCTTAAACGGCCAGTGTTCCCATTTCGCCACGATGGGCTTCTGTGGTGTGTTATCACATGTGGCCCTGTTAAGACTCGTAAAGGTCAGGACTGAGAAAACAGAGGGAAGAGTTTCCAGAGTGAAGGTTACTTAACAGCCACCAAGGAGCAGAAACAGAAGAGTTCAGAAGGAAGAAAGATGGCTGATGGCTCAAAAAACCCTGATCTGATTTTGAAAACATTTTCTAACCTTAAAAGCATTTATTTTTCCTTTTTTACAAAAATAATTTCCCTGAGATTAAAAAAAAAAGCAAAACAGAAAAGATAAATAGTCCATCCCTCACATAGCATTAATTAGATCAGATCTCGATTTGGCAAAATGTTCTAGAGGAATTATCAATCAAAACCAATTTGGATTTAGATGTCAATTCAAATAATCCTGAATTTTAGAAAGTGGACTTCAACTTAAAAGAGAAAATAAATCACTAGGGTTTTGGAGTAACTTGAAGTTTAGCGACCCTGACAATTTCTATGCCAGATATTTCACAAATTGTCAAAAACTGTTCTAATCCTTCCTGATCAATTAAAGATATTTAATCTGTTGGTTTATTTAAATTTATTCATTCCACCTAAATCCAAATTTAATTCGAAACAGTCTCCTTCCTGGACTCTCATTCCTGGCACAGATTCAGCACTCTCTGAGACCCTTGGTTCCCAGATAATTTGCACTGTGAATTAAGACAGTGTCTGTCTGGGGGCGGGTGGGGGGCTCAGTTGGTTAAGCTTCCAACTCTTGAGTTTGGCTCAGGTCATGATCTCAGGGTCGTGAGATCGAGCCCTCCGTGCTAGGTGTGGAGCCTGCTTGGGATTCTCTCCCTCTCCCTCCGCCTCTGCCCACCCCTCCTCTTGTTAAAAACAAAAACAAGAGTATCTGTCTGTGAAGGAGTTAGACCATCTCCCCTCTGCTAAGATGACTCCAGAGGACTCAGCCACGGTCCACAGCCTGCCCATGTGACTAACACTTCAAAGAGCACTCTGAAAATACACCCTGGCCGCAGCAGCTCTGCACACATGGATTCTGGTTTGTGATGAAGGCTCTTCTGAGGTATCATGTGTTTCCATGTTTGCATTTGTTTAGAAAAGGGGATGTGCCCCCTCTCTTCCAGGCTTTGTAAGGCATACAGTGATGAGTCTTCTCTATCAATTCTAAGAATTATCTAATTGCTAACCCACTCCCTAGTATCACATCAAGTTAAAAAAATTTTATCTGACTCATGATGAAAAATTGTTAGGATTGGGCCTAGATTAGTTTTCCTTCCACTAATGTCATTTCCATATACTTCTGAGATTGTCTACCCCCCCTTTTTTTTCCTTTCTTAAGAAATAAACCTATTTCAGAATTCTGGGGTGGATGGCGGGGGGGGGGAGGTTGATTAACATTATTTTAAACATGTTCAGTTCTGTTTTGTGGTTTTAAAGTATTCAGGAAGAAAAAGACCACACCGGTAGAGGAGGACAGATAAGAAAATGGAAGGCCTGAGTGGTCTGGATTAAGGATGTTGGCATAGCAGAGAGAAAACCTTTGTGACGGGAGTTGAAGGCCCAGGCCTAGCAGGGGGAAAAAAATCTTTGGAGCTGAATTATGAGCTCTACTCCTTACTGATTTCAAGATCTTGGACATCAGTTTCCTGATCTGAAACCAATACTGCACGCTGGTTCACAATTTGGCCAGTACCATCCCAAGGGTGTTTTGGAAATTTGTGGAGGGCATTTTTATCTGATAAGGTTGTGCCCAAGTTTTAGCTTTTTAAAAATTTTTAAATAAAATTTGTATCACCTAGTATTTACCATTTTTAACCATTTTTTAAGTGTACAGTTCGGTGGCATTAAATACACTCACCTTGTGTAGCCGTCACCACCATCCATCCCCACAACATTCTCATTTCCCCAGACTAAAACACTGTATCCATGAAACACTAACTCCCCATTTCCCCAAACCCCTGGCAACCACCATTCTACCTTGTTTCTATGAATATGACTACTCTGGGCACCTCATCAAGTGGAATCATACAGTATTTGACCTATGGCTTATTTCACTTAGCATAATGTCTTCGTTTCATCCATGCTGTAGCACGTATCCCAAGCATTAACACTAGAGGCCGCTTTTAGGCAACAGGCTTGAGCAATGGAAACTTGAGCAAGGCAAAAGGGCCCACAGCAACCACCAACCACGAGCTGACCCAAACAGGATCATTAAGTGACCCACCTTGAAATAGCCCTAGGCCCTAACCGACCTATTACAAGCAGGCACAGTTCCTAAGATTACCAAAAAAGGGAAAATTCCGTAAGTTCCCACCCTCCTTTGCTCTGCCCTGTAACTGTGGCCCTTCATCACCACCTTGTGGAAGGCCATCCCTCCTTTGCTGTCCTACTCGCTGCTCCCTTGCGGTGTATTCAATAAACTTCTATCTCCTTCGTTCTGCCCTGGGTGAATTCACACCTGTGCCACTGGCCCCCACCCAACTGGGATGCCCCACATTTGGTGGCCAGCATGGGGACCCTTGTCAGCCCTGGACTCTTTCCAGATTCTCCAGGAATTTCTTTGGACTTTCCCTCAGTGGACTGGACTCTAGTACCTCAGGCCAAAGTTACTTCTTGGTGAGGATCTGAAGCCCCATGGGGAACCCACCAGACCATCCTTGCCTGAAAGGGTGAGGGATCCTTCCCTCCCTCTCCTTTTTCTTTTCAGCCCTTTGGCAGCCAACCCTAGTACTCCTCAGACAACTGAAGGTCCCTGACCAAGATGGCTCCCTGGTGTGGTCTGAAGGTCTGAGGGCAAACAAGTTGGACTGCCCATGCCTGGGAGGGTGAAGGAACCCTTTCCACTCCATCTACAGCTCATCTAGGGTGAATGTGCATACCTTAGAGACTCAGTTGAGACCCTTTCTTGATACTGGCTGACTCTCAGCTACCTTGCTCCTCCTTTTTCCTTTGTTCTGACAGATCCAGCCGCCATCTTGACCAACAGGCAAAACACATTTCCACACATCTGAGGGGTGAGTCCTCTCCCTTCTTTTTCCAACTCGGTTTGGCAACCATGTGTCCGGCTTTCCCTGTTGCAGGGGACACCCCAGCAGGGATTGCTATTGCCATTTGCTGTGACCTTCTCCTTGGTGGGATGCGACAGTAGGGTCAGTCACCCTGCATAAGGTCCTGTCTTTTTTCAGGTCTGTGGGACGCCCTGACAGAAATTGCGACCAGAAGTCAGAGTTTCATTCCCTTTGGTGGGATGCCTCTTTGGAAATCAGCAGCCAGTCTTTCCCACTCTGGGACAAACCCCCTCTATTCCTTTGGAGTCACTCTTGGGCTGTATTCTTAAACACTGGAACAAATTTGACCCCCAAAGCCTGAGGAAAAACATTTCATCCTTTTATGTAATGTTTCCTGGCCTCAGTACAAACTTCCAGATCAAGAGCTATGGCCCCTCCACAGAACCCTTTCTTATAATACTATCTTCCAGCTTGGCCTCTTTTGCCAGAACTCCTCCAAATGGTCAGAGGTCTCATATGCACAAGCCTTCATGGCATTGTCCCAAAAATCCTAACATCCGCAAAAACTGTAGAATGTGTCTTGTTCAGTTTCATGGCTCATCTGACCCTCTGTATAGATTTCAAAGTCTGTGGTAACCTGAAACTTTAAAGTTTTGCTTGGATGATAAATTGAAATCATTGGACCGTGAAGTCACTTCCAAATAAGATAAAATATTAAAGCAGTGAGTACTAAATATAGGTTTATGCTTTTGGCTTCTCATTGCAGAGAAACTAAAGATACTTGGGTCTGTTGGAAAACATGCTTTGTGCCTTATGGAAAGAATGTCCTATGGAAAAGTATGTTTTTTAAAAATTAGGAAATGTATTCATATATTATAGATCTAAAGAATTCTGGTGTAACAGTTCACAATTGGTTACCACTTAGTTTTCACTGGAGACTAAGGTTTCTAAGTTAAAATTCCGCTACATAATTAGGACTGATGGAAATAAGGAAAGCAACTCTGTATGTAGAAAATTAGGAAATCTATGAGGAAGATACCCTGCTTACAGAGTTCCCAGCAGCCTTACCAGATGAGTCAAGAATGTCATTTCCTGGCAGATGCAGGAACCTCAGGATATTTGGGGAACCTCAAGAACAGGAATTTGCTCAAATCTACAGGTATTGCAGACATGTCTGATAGCATGTATTTGGCTTGGATTCTGGCGTAGAAAGGCTACTAAAAGTTTAGTCTAGAGATTCCTTATAAAAGTTCCAGCAAAACTAAATTTAAAGGACCTATATGGTCAATCACTATTCTTACTGAGTTTATGTAAATAATTAAGCCAAGTTTGTTTGGGTTTTTTTTTATGTATTTTTTTTATTTAAATTCAATTAACATATAATGTATTACTAGTTTCAGAGGTAGAGATCAGTGAATCATCAGTCTTAAATAACACCCAGTGATCATTACATCACGTGCCCTCCTTAATGTCCATCACCCAGTTACCCCATCCCCCACCCCTCTCCCCTCCAGCAACCCCTGTTTGTTTCCTATGCTCAAGAGTCTCTTATGGTTTGTCTCCCTCTTTGATTTCGTCTTGTTTTATTTTTTCCTCTTCTTCCCCTATGATCCTGTTTTGTTTCTTAAAGTCCACATGAACAAGATCATATAACTGTCTTTCTCTGATGGACTTATTTCACTTAGCATAATACCCTCTAGTTCCACCCACATCATTGCAAATGGCAAGTTTTCATTTTTCAAGGCTACATAATATTCCATTGTGTGTGTGCACACATGTGGGTGTGTGTGTGTGTGTGTGTACATATACATACTACCTCTTCTTTATCATCTGTCAATGGACTTCTGGGCTCTTTCCATAGTTTGGCTATTGTGGACATTGCTGCTATAAACATTGGGGTGCAGGTGCCCCTTCGGATCACTACATTGTATCTTTGGGATAAATCCCTATTAGTGCAATTGCTGGATCGTAGGGTAGCTCTATTTTCAACTTTTTGAGGAACCTCCATACTGTTTTCCAGAGTGGCTGTGCCAGCTTGCATTCCCACCAACAGTGTAGGAGGGTTCCCCTTTCTCCGCATCCTCGCCAACATCTGTTGTTTCCTGACTTGTTAATTTTAGCCATTCTGACTGCTGTGAGGTGGTATCTCATTGTGGTTTTGATTTGTATTCCCAATTAGGCCAAGTTTGTTAAAACTGGACTTGTTTTACAAACAAATTAGTCTTAGGGTGCCTGGCTGGCTCAATTAGTGGAGCATGCGATCTTGAGGTCGTGAGTTCAAGCCCCATGCTGGGTGTAAAGATTAATTAAATAAAACTTTAAACAAATAAATTAGTCTTGATTTGGCTATCTGGAAATAAGGGTGCATTCAGAGAGAAAAATTATGTTTCAGCAATACATCCTTAGGGACTAGATTCTAGTTTTGGTTAACTGTCTTTATTTTTTTACTGGGGGGGAGGGCAGAGGGAGAGGGAGAGAGAATCTAAAGCAAGCTCCATGACCAGCATAGAACCCAGTGTGAGGCTTGATCTCACAACCCTGAGATCATGACCTGAGCTGAAATCAAGAATCAGACGCTAACCGACTCAGCCACCCAGGCACCCTGACTGTCTTTTAAATGTCTGTTGTTTGCCTAAGCTAGGCAACCTGAGGTAAACTTCAGAGAAATTGAAACAATAGTTCATGTATAGGCAATCTTCAGGCCAGGTGCTAGGGATGGAGTGAAGGAAAAGGGGCTCTGTCCCTACCCTTTAACGTATCCAGTCTACTTTACCCATTTATTCTTTACCATTTCCTGAGGTGTCACGACAATTCACACACAAAGCTCCCCAATATTATTTGTAGAAAAATCCAGTTTTCACCAGGCTTTCCCATACTTACATTGAATACATTATATAGTATAAGGGCCTGACAAAAATACGCTATTGCTGGTTTCAACTGAAGTTAAAAAGAGGTCTGTGGATGGGGCACCTGGGTGGCTCAGTCGTTGGGCGTCTGCCTTCGGCTCAAGTCATGATCCCAGGATCCTGGGATCGAGCCCTGCATTGGGCTCCCTGCTCCGAGGGAGGCCTGCTTCTCCCTCTGCCTCTGCCTGCCGCCCTCCCTGCTTGTACTCTCTCTCTGTGTCTCTATAAAAAAAAAAAAAGAGGTCTGTGGATTTCTTTCTCCCCCATTAATTCAAAATCTCTTAGCAGTTTGGGACCTACATTCTAGGGATAATTTTCATGACTGAATAAACCATGTATTACTTCTAAAAGCTACTGTTGAATCATCTACAAATACTTCTTTTTGTCTAACTAAATACAATTTGGAATGCATGACAACTTAGTGCCTTACTAAAAGCAGCGGCTCTGTTTTAGTTTTCTTATTTGTAAATGATCAGCTTTCTAAGCTTCTTATGTATTATGTTCTGTACTAACAAGTTCCTATGTTAGTATATTACACTTTGAAAGAGGAAAAAAAAATAACAAAACAAGACAAAACAAAAAAAACCCCAACTAGCTTGTTTTGATGAGTGTTCCGTAGCTATTTAACTTCCACTATTAATGAATCCTAAGTGGCCAGAAATCAAGATCCTTATTCATTTTAAGTAGGATAATACTGGTGAATACTCCCTGAGGCACAAAACTGATAAGTGGGCAAATTTTCACTAACCTGAGTAGTCAAATTGCAGCAGATGTTGAGATATGCAGGAAAATAAATGCAAGGTTAGAAAAGCAAGAAAAGCACAGACACTACTGGAAAAAATCTGAAAAAAGTGGGGACAAAGTGAAGGAGAGGAGAGGTCTAATCATTAACGTAAATAACCACATGAGAACTGAGGAAGAGTAGTGTATTTTTAGAAGATATAAGTACTAAGTAAAGTATCTGGAAAAAAGGCAATGTTTGGGCCCGATGCAAGAATTTTACAATTTCAACATGCACATTTCAATACACCAGATAAAAATAAGTTGGATAAAAAATTCACCAACTGTTGGCTGGCCTTATAAACTAGAGAGATTCTCTATCATAGGCTTCCCAAGGGCAATAGGAAGCAGTCTTATTTTTAATATCTTCCACATATCTAATTCTGTCCTTCACCAATAAAATGTACTTACTGTCACCTCCTCAAAGAGGTTGTCCCTGACTTCCCAAACTGAAATGACCTCCCACCATCACCTTCCATTGCATTTTATTTTCTTCAAAGGAAATATCACTATTTGAAAACTACCTTGTTTACTTATTTATCAAGCTCTGTGAGAGCAGAGATTGTATCTGTTCTCACCACCGCATCCCCATACCTACAATGTTAATGGCACCTAACAGGTCCTCAGTGAGTATCTGTCAAATGAATGAATGCTTGAATCTGTTCAAGTGAGTTGTCATTAGAGGAAGAAACACACATCAGAAAAAAAACATCAGAATAATGGGAATAAACCATTCTAATTCTAGTGACACCCTGCCACTTACTGTGCAACCCTGAGCAAAATAAAACCTCTCCAATCCTCAAGGTTCTTAATCTATTCAGTATCAGTGTAGCTTCCCTCATAAAAGGTTGCTGTGAGAATTGAATCAAAAAATGTATGAAACAGGGGCTCCTGGGTGGCTCAGCCGGTTAAGTGTCTACCTTCAGCTCAGGTCAAGATCCCAGGGTCCCGGGATCAAGCCCCACATCGGGCTCCCTGCTCAGCGGGAGTCTGCTTTTCCTTCTCCCTCTGCCCCTCCACCCCCGCTCCTGCTCTCTCTGCTCTCTCTCTCAAATAAATAAAATCTTTAAAAAAAAATCTATGAAACAAACTGAGAGTTGCTGGAGGGGAAGATGGGTGGGAGAATAGGGTAATGGGGTAATGGGCATTAAGGAGATGTAATAAGTACTAGGTGCTATATGCAACTGATGAATCACTAAATTCTAACCCTGACACTAAATAATAATAATAATAATAATAATAATAAATGTATGTATGCGAGGTGCCTGGGCTGGCTCAGTTGGTAAAATATATGACTCCTAATCTTAGGGTTGT